ATGAAAATATTTTTAATAAGAAAAAATATATTATTCTAGGGTAAAGATTTTGGTGATGTTGAAAGTCGTCGAGAAATTCGTAAACGTTTAAATTGTCATTCATTTAAATGGTATCTTGAAAATGTATTTCCTGAAAAATTTATTCTTGATGAAAATGTTCATGCATATGGAGAAGTAAATAATTAAATAGCATAAAAAATAAATTTTTCTTTTTTTTTGAGGTTCGAAATCCTTCATCAAGTTTATGTTTGGATACATTAGGTAAAGATGAAAAAGGTTCAATACCAGTATCAATATTCTCATGTCAAAATGGTGTATCAGCAAATCAATATTTTTCATTATCAAAAACTGATCAATTACGTCGTGAAGATACATGTTCAGTTACATCAGGACATAATTCTGATATTATGGATGTTATTCTATCGAATTGTGATTATGCTGATAAAAGTCAAAAATGGATACATGAAAGAGTAAGAGAAAATAAATCTGTTTGTTTTTTAAATAAGATTTAATTCGTTTTGTTTTTCGTATAATTAAAAGAATGGATCAATTGTTCATCTTCCAAGTAAACTTTGTCTTGATGTTGAAGGTCTTTCAAATAATGATCAAGTTAAATTAAGACAATGTGTACCTAATAAACCATCACAACGATGGGTATTTGAACATTATTTAACAAGTTAATTACATAATTTCCTCTCAATACATTCCAACCGTCCAAAAGATAATAAACAAAAATGAACTAATAAGAAATCCATCACTCTTTTTTTTTCTATTTAATGATTGTGTTAATAACAGTGTTGCTATTATTTCGTGATAATAAGGTTCCATTGATGATGTTGTTGCCTCATGTTTTTTTTTTTTTAGTTTTATTTGTTTTGTTACTACTTATAATTAAATAAAAGTTCTATCAATATTTTATATTCACATGTCAAAATAAAATCTTTATTAATCGAAAAAGATTTGTTCGAACTTAGCAAGGTTATAGAGTTTTCTTTTTATCTATATCGACGTACCTGGTTGTGTTGATAAAGTTCCAGGTGTTTTTTTTTCAATTATTATCGAAGTTGTTTTTCATTCTTTTGACAATATCAGTGACACATAAGATACAGTCAGACTTATCTAGAGCTCGTTGGATCCAGATAGCAGAGAATTTAATGAAAGATACTCTGAATTAATTCAGTTTTCGAAAATTTGAAAGTTTAATTATTGTGTTTATGTATTCTGAGCTGAAAGTCTCGTCTCAAATCCTTAAAATTGTTTTGATTTTCAAAAAAAAAGTGTTGTTTTTTTTTTAAATTAAAAACTATGAAAATAAATATGACTATAATGACTTGCATTTTGTTCAGATACAGTTATAAGGATTTTGCTCCTTTAACTATAGAATCAAACATATACACTTATGTTTTTCCTTTCTCTTGTTATTAGTCATGTATCATGTATTTTCATTACCTGTTATACATGATGGATTTTTCCATTTCCTTTTATACTTCTTCCTCTCATGTTGTTCTACGGAATTTTCCATTATTTGGCTCATCATTGATGGGATTTTCGAGTTCTTGCGATTACCGTATATGTAGAGCTACATTGTTACGACAAGAATATGATTGAAAATAGATATACTTATAAAAATAAAATAAATTAATTTAAGATTCTTTTTTTTTTCATATTGAAATAGAATATAAACATAAATTAAACTATAACTTTTGTTTTTCATAAACAGTGAATAAGAATTCATTTTCTTTGTTAATAATAATATGTATATATATATATATATGGAAAGAAAGAATAGGACACACCCATTGCACACATTTCGAAAGACACAAGCAAAAAGAAGAAAAAACCTCATCGTGCGATGACTAATATCAACAAATAATTAGTTTTTCATAATAAAAAAAGAAAGAAAGAAGAGATCGAAGGATAAAACATCAAAAGATAATTTCAAGAATAGAAACTGAATTTTAAAAGATATATATATATATATGTATTTTATTATTGAGCATCATCACGAGTTGAGAAAAGTGATGTCACCGGAACATTGAACAAAAAAAAAAAACAAGAAAAGAAGAGTGAGTAAAAACAAACAAACAAAACAAAACAAAAAAATTATGAATTAATATTTGATGATAATATTAGTGGAGGTTCAGTTAGTGTTTGACGATTTTCAATTTTTTCATCTTCACTTAATTCATCGTCATCATCTTCATCTATTGAACTATTTGTATTATCTATTTCTTCATTTATTTTTGATACATTTAATGAATGTATTCTAAAATTAAATATTTATTTAATTATTTAATATAAATAATAATTAATATATTTAAGCTAAAGAGAAGTTCAAATCCACACACACACATAGATACAAACAAAGGTTTAATATCTACCATATTTCTTTTACTGCTCTCATTACATAAGTTTGAAATATTCTATTGTTATATTCATATATACATAGATACAAATGATTAATAATAACAAAAAATGAATATTAACTTACTTGTTTGTTGTATTAATACTATCTCCTGGTGTTGAATTTGATCGACTCCGTACGACTTCTTCCAATGTAGCCGGTTTTAAAAGATTATTTTGTGATAGTAAACTAAATGATTGTAGAATTTGATTAAAATATTATTATTCATTGAAGAAAAAAAACGAATGCCGATGATTGTTTTTGTGAATAACTGACGAAGAGAAAGATCGAAATTTGACTAATTAACAATTGATCTATCAAGTGAGTTCTTAGTAAAGATTATAAAAATGAAATTCAGAAATCATTTCTTTTGATCTAGATAATCCCATAACTTGATAGTCGCTTCCGTTTAAAAGTTACAAAGGTTTTCTGAAGTTCATCGATTCTAGTAAATTGACCATCAAAGACTTCAAACATGGGTAATTCATTATGTTGAATAAAATGATGATGTTTCTTTTCAATTTCAAAGCGATCTGAGATCACTATTTCAGTATTTTTGAAATTTTTGGAAACTTTTCCTATACAGCATAAAAATCGAATTTGTTTTGAAATTGAAGGCAAACATCATCTTTTAACTCAACCTGATGAATTATTTAGGTGTTGAGCTCTTTTCAAGCCTTCTGAACTAATATAAGATCGATTCTGTTCGCAGTTTCGTAAACCAATTTTGATTTTCATCCTGAAAAATCTGAATCGATTTCACCTCTACTTCCATAGTTAATTAGCTGAAATCGGAAGAAGTCTCAAGCAAGTCCTTGTAACTCTTGAGTGAGAGAGCAGCTATGAAGTTGAAATTTATGTAGATCAAAAGAAAGAACTTTTTTCTACTGTTTGATTAAATTAGATGTTCAAATCTAATAAAAAAAAATAACTTCAAAATCTTGTTTTTAAAAATCTTCCGAAATGATCAATTACATTTCAATTTATTTTGATAGGTTTCAAGTGTTTTCTCTTGCATGATAAAGTTATTCAAGAAAACAACCGTCAAAATGTTTTCTTGTATTGACTGAATAATAGTTATAAACGAAAAAATAAGTTTTTCTTACTTTTCATTGTTTGAATCAATAGATTGTGGTGATTGAGCAGTTATAGATGGTGATTGAGCAGTTATAGATGGTGATTGAGCAGATGTAATAGTTAGTGATGGTAAAGTAGTTAAATGTGATAGATTTGGTGGTGTTGGTGCTTGACGAAGTTTCTAGAAAAATAAAAGATAAAATGATTTGTAATAAATAAATTTAAACAAATGATAAAACATACTACAGATGCTCGTCGTTTATCAGATTCTTTATGCAATGTTTGAGATACTCGACCTTGTGTTGTATTTATTTCATGTGTACTTGAATTAAGAAGTGATGTATTAGAGTTTGCTAGATTTGAAGGTATAGATGAAGATGTTGATGTGGATGATACTGAACCTGATCGACCACCAGTAAATACATTGAATATTTTCGATAGAGTTCTTTTTTTTGAAACAACAGGGGATATACGACCAGAATTTGAAGTAGTACCTTCATTTGTTGATTGTATTGTTGAACCGATAGTACTATCACTTCGTGGACTTGATTGTTGAGCTATAGAAGAGTTAAGATTTTCAACTTCAGATGTTGTATCTAAAACTTGTCCAATAGATAAATGTTGTACAAGTTTTTTAAGTTCTTCTTGTTTTATTCGTTGTCTTTGTGCAGCTACACGAAAACATAAACTTGGTGATTCAATAGCAGCATTTATTGAATTAAGTAATAATGTAAGAAAATAATCACGAAATGAATCATTACATTCATATATTCCACCGGGTGGTTCAATTGTTGATGTAAAATCATTACGATGCCAAACACCAACCTATAAATAAATAATATTTTGTAAAAAAAAAAAAGAAAATTTGTTTTTTTTTTTTTACTTTATAATAAAGATTTTCATCAATTGTACAAGGTTGTACTGTAATATATATTTGTGTTACTTTTCCCGAAATAAAATCTGGTATAAATTCTGCATCTTTTTCTTGAAAAACAATACAAACAAATGCATTTCCTACAAGACCTTTACGTTCAATACATTGTCCATTTGCTTTTGTTGATGGTATCATTGGTGCTATATTAAACATTATTTCATGATTATTATATTTTGTATAATATGAATATTGTCCATGTAAATCATCTTTTGTATCAAGATCACCACGATATTTATTAAAACCTTTTAAACGTACATATTCAGCTAATTGATTTAAAAAATTTTTTAAATCATCTGTTATTTTATCATTACTAAATATATCATATTCATTTGTTTGATCTAAACATTGATAAATAAGACCAATTTTACAATTTTGTCTTTCATCATTTAATTTATCAAATAAATATATTTTTTCATTTGCCTATAAATTATTAAAATAAAAAAAAAAAATATGATTTAGTAATATTATATAAATTATAAACATCTCACCTACTCACTTTTGGATCACCAATTGGTTTACATGTATTTATTGCTGATAAATGTGCTTGATTAAATAATATTTGAAGAATATTATCTTCATTTGTTCCATCAACTATTACAGATACATCATAATTACGACTTGGAATACTAAAACAAAAAAAATAAATAAATTTTACAATGTTTCAAAAATTTGTTAATTTTAAAATTCAGATTTATCATTTCTATTACAGTCACAAAAAAGTCAAAATCATCTATCGCATATATAGATATATAGAACATTATTTCAAACAGTTGGTTCGCTTTTTTGTTTTAACATACAAAGATGAAAATGTACTGAAATAACCTTCATAAAAAAATTATTTAATAATGTTCTAGATTGTATAGAAAATGATTATTAAATTATTCTATCAAGGTTAAAATTTGGATAAATAAAACCTTGAATCGACATTTTGTTATTATTTTTTCTTAATGTTATTTTTATTCTTTTTACAAATTTGATGACAAAATCAGACACTTTATCAAACATATTTTAATTATCTACTTCGAACTAAAAAATGATCTTAGAAAAAAAAAAGAAAACTCAGCACGATATAAATTTAATCTGATTATATATTTCTTGTCAGGAAAAATTAAAAATAGTTAATTATCATCAATCAAATTGTTGACTTGAAGTCTAATTTCCACCTACGACCGATTACTAATTTAAAGATTTAAAAACTATTCAATTTTTTCTTAATGCCATCAATAAATGTCAGGCTTTTTCTTTTTCAAAAAATTGCTTTCATGAATCTTCTTTTTTTTCTTTTTGTTCTTATTATAGATAATTTACATTGAAATCATAAAGTATCTAATTATAATCTTTGTTTTCAATCTCAAACAACTTCAAAACTTTTATTTTTTTTTTACACATTTCCTATAAAAATATTTATAAAACTAAAAGAGTCTCATGAATTTTTTTTTTTTTTTGAAAGTTATGTTTATATTATTAACTTCATTCTAAATTATTCTACTTGAAAGTCAAATAGTTTATTAATTTCATAGAAGTTTAATTAGTTAAAATTAGCAATTTTTTTTCGCTTGATCATGTCATATTGGTCTATTTATAAAAATGACTCAATGCATCGATGTTTATCTATTTATTTCAATGTCAGATAAACATACCGAATAATAGCTCGAGCTTGACAACATGCAGTCGTGTCTATTGAATATGATATATTATCTGATAAAATTGGTTTATTATAAAAATATCGAAGAGATGCAACAAATGGACCTTCTTGTTCAAATTCACCATAATAATTTGTATGAAACTAAACAAATTTCATAAAGAAAAATATGTTGTTTTTTTTTATATCATAAATTTACTTACATATTCAAAAAACTGTTCACGATAAATTTCTGCAATACATAATGATGTATGTAATTTTAATGGAAGTGTTTCAGTTGATCGTGGTTCAAATTGATTTGTATCCAATGTAAATAATGATGACATAGAAGATATTGATGATGTTGAATCTTCATAGAGAGATGTTGATAAACGATCATTACTAATTGATAAATTTGTTCCTGAATTATTCGTTGATAAATTGAATGCTTTCTATTTAATTAAAAAAGAAAAACGAAAAAAAAAAAAAGAAAATTTTATTATTATATATCATTGAATACATGTTATTCTTGTACATTGAATATTTTTTGTATTATTGACATTTTCAATGAAAGCAATCGTACGGATCAAATGACATGATAGACAAAGTAATCTTCTTTTTTTTATTATTTTCTATTTCATATCAACAATGCGCATTGAGAAAGGATAAGAAAAAAGAAACAAAGAAAAAAAAAAAGAGTCGGGACGTGTATATTAAAGATTGTATCTTTTTTATAAAAAAAAATCACTTTGTGAAAAGAGATTTTTTTGTTATTTAAATCGAATAGTTATTGATTTATTGTTAAGAAACATAGATGAAAAAAAAAATTCAACGTTTATTGTTCTTATTATTAATTGTATGATTTGAGTCAAAACATACCTTATCAAAATGCTTATGAATTTTTTTACGACGATATGATACTGCAAATTTAACTGTTGTAATTAACATATTTTGTTACAAGTCTAAGTGAACTATACTTTTATCCTATATTCATCACTCATATATATATATATACCTACACGTCATATCATACAACCCACTTAAATGATATTACGTTATAAATAGGACAAAGAAAAAAAAATGTGCCTATCGAGCATGACAAAACATTTAACTTACTGATGAGAGAGGTTGTTCGGGTTTCATTGTCGTCATACCGTTGTAATGTACTGAATAAGTATTATTAAGAGTATTAACACTTGTGTTTGTATCGTCTCTAGAAATTAAAAATTTTTTTTTTTGTAGTAACAAGGACAATAATGAGCAAAAGTCTGGTCGCACACAAACACACATACACATGCACATAAGTTAGTAACAAATGCACAATAATCAACTGCATCTGACTCTCAGTTACTGATAAGAGAAAAAGCGAGGAGAAAGAATTGTTAGTTTTCAGATGAAAATGACGTTGTTTTAACAACGACATCCTTATCATTATTTATCATCATCTGCTTTTCATACCCACACTAATGCTAACTTACTTGATTGTATTTTTATGATGATGTTTTTTTGTACGAAAAGGATATGGAAGTAAAAACCCTAAATTAATTTGAGGCATTGAATTACGTCGTTCATTATTTGTTTTTTGAGTTTGTTGTATTAAAGGTGGTTTTAATTCACTAAATCTTCTACTACATTTATTATTTGGTTGTTTATATGAATTATATGGTAATGATGATAAATCTGTAAGCAAATCACCAGATGTTTCTTCTGATATTGACATAGTACGACTTTTTGAAAACGAATGATTATGACAATCTTTTAATGAATGTCTTGAATATGGATAACTATCTGATTGAGATAATGAAGATTTTAATGTTTTTTTACAATGAATTGATTTTGATGTCGAATCAATTGACATGATGAACACAAAGAAGATTTTCTATAGACAAAAAAAAAAAGAAAAATTGTTCTGTAAAATGTTTCTAACAAATTAATAGAAGCTTAAATCAAACTAGATATTTCAAAAAGAAAAGAACAAAAGAGGAAAAAAAATATGTTAATAATAAACGATTTTTCTTATAAATATATTTTTTTTTAGAAACACTTATTTTATTCTACTTATGTCAATGAAAAATAAAAAAAAGAGATATTAATAGATATTGAACATATCGCGTGTATACATAGAGAAAGAATTCTCTAAATAAATTTCATTTGTCTTATTATTAAAAAATTAATTTTTTTTACATTTTTTAATATTGTCTATTAAAAGATAATTTAGCACTTACCATTTATTCGTTGGTTAGACATTTTTATATAAATACTATTAATGTTTCTTTCCCTTTCGAAAGCTCTAATTATTATTCTAACATCAAAATATTATAAGAAAAGCTAAATGATTTTTTTTCTTCACTTTTTCAAAAGACAAAAAAAAAAAAAAAACAAAGAGAGAAAATAAAATGCCGCTAGCAATATGTTTAATACTTTATTCTCATATTTCTTACACTTAAAAAAAAAAGAAACACAAAAGTACAACATGTACACCGATGAATTTAGTTCTACTTAACATTCATTTATGAATCTTTGATGAGATATGCATAGTATAAATTTGTGTTCTGCTTGAGTGAGTTTTTTTTCTTCCTTTCTTTCATCATACATATGACTCAGTAATTAAAAATGGTACATTACGCATATTATAAGTGCATACGTTAGTTGGGAAGTATTTTACATGAAAGAAATAAAAAGCAAAATATGATACTTTTTCTTATTGTTAGTTTTGTTAGTAAGATACTATAGATACGCAAGAAAATAGATGTTAGGATATTGTCATTTATTTTATATTATTTTAACAGTTTGTCGTAGTTGATATTGATGGTTATCTCGATTGTCGATCAAGTATAAAAATATCTATCTGTATACTTCATCATTATTTCTTCTTTTCAACTGTAAATCACACTTAATTATTCCAAATAAACGAAATTGATTATCATACAAGATTACTCAATCTGATGTAAATACAGTTGGGTTTATAGAATAGTTTGAAGCCTTATAAAAATCATAACGTCTAAAAAATAAAAAAAAGAATAATTCTCACTTACACAATGCTCGACTTTCTATGTACGTATAGATGATGTGAAAATGAATTGTGTGTTCGATTCGATCAAAATTTAAAAACATTAAAGAGACATTTTGCCCTTTCTTTTTTAAACATTCTAATTGCGTTGTTCTTTCTTCAACATTTTTTTCTGTCTCTTGTTCATGGTTTTTTTTTTTTTTCTTTATTTACATTACTTGTCAAGAACAACCAAGAAGAAAAAAAACGTGAGACGATATAGAGGAACTTGAAAGGTGTTGATTTGTTATAACAATCCTGCGATCGTTTGTTTAGGTTCTCTTTCTGTTATTGATTCCTTTTAAGCTTTTTCATCTAAAATAAGGCATACAAAAAAAAAGAAAAGAATGAGTGAAGACTATTCTTTTACAAATAATAAAAAAAAAACTATGAATAAGCATTAAAAGGAAATCGAATTAGACGCATGCCGTATGTTAAGATAGAGTTTCTTTATCATAATAAGAATATGGAATAGACAAGAGGAAATTAAATATCTTACTTGCAATTTCTTCTTCTTCTTTTTTTTTGTTGCTAAAAAAAAGTCATCAACACAATTCTCTGCTTATAATTTCTATGTAGTCGATTCATGACCTTCACGTTTTATACTACATGTAAATATAACCTTTAATCATTTTGATGAACTTTTGATTTTATTTTTATCATTATTATCAAATAAAATAATAACATACGCAAGTAAAAGAAATAAAAATGTATAGCATGAATATTTTCAATGCAAAAAAAAAAAACCTATTCGGACATTTTCATTCATCTATTCATATGAAATTATTATGTAAATGAAATTGTATTTTATGATTAACTTTGATAGCTTTTTAGATCATGATTTTATATATAGAAAAAAAAAAAACTATAATCAAAGCAAAACAAAAACAAAATAAACGAACAGTCTAGTGGCATAGATCGAAAATAATAAGAATTATATTAGAGTTATAACATTCAGTGAAAGTTCATTAGATTAGTTTCGAACCAAGCGAAGAAGTCATACTTGAAAAGTAACAACTAATAATAACATCCTATTAGACTCAAACTACAATTAGAAGTACAGTTCGAACACGAGTCTAAGACATATTTAATTATTCAGATCCGGATGCAAAAATTCCTAATCCGATCTATTCTATGTTCAATATATATTAATAACCTACTGTAAAAAAAAATTTGTCTGATGAAATTAACACAAGAAACAAACATTATACTATAATATAGACTAATATCTGATGAAGGAACTTCTCCAAGTGTTAAATCACTTTTCAATTGAGATGATATTTATTTAATGAGTAAAAGAACCATCTACAATAGTTTGGTTTTTCGAATCATCGTTCTCGAGATTTTTCAAATGTTACTCGATTTTTTCAATAAAAAGTCGTGATCCTTCTCAAATCATTTTTCATTTCCGACTTAAAACTTTGCATGAACAAAACATTCAACAGAATTAGTTTATCGAGCAAGTTATAACTTTCCTTATATTTCCTATTCTGAAATATTCAACATTTTCTCATATATAAAAGCAAAGTTCATTCATACATTGGCATTATGCCCTATCACGGACAAAAATAAATTCGTTTTTCTTGAATTATTATATATCCATTTATATGTCATTATAAAGGTAATAGAGTTTATTACATTTATTATATTCTATTTACATATTATTTGGTATTTATTCCAAAAATGACCCATTTTTATTATATCGAGAGAACAAAAACAGCACTACAAAGAAGAAAAATATCCTATTTAACAAAAATTTCAGTTTTAGACTGATAGTGTGTCTATTTTTTTTTTTTGAAAGAAATAAACTTCACAAATTATCACCTAGTCTATTAAAAATAATTAATCATGAAGCAATTCTGAACTGAGACGACAATCTTACTAAAAGTGCTCCCTCGATTGTCAGAGCTCTTCATACATATAATATCAGATATATACTCACTGTACTAAGAATTATTGTATATCGTAATAACAAGTTTGATACTGTGTGCATACAAAGATCAAATAGTCACACGAGAAAAACTGTGAGTAAGATTGCTGTCTCGATTCAAAACTATATCATTATCAATTATTGATAATCAAGCAGGTGACCAAGTGTGAAATTTATCGGCTTTCAAAAAGAAACAACACGTTTAAGCACACCTTCACTTTTAGACTGAAGAATGTTAAATAGGATATTTTTCATTTTCTTTTATTGCTGTTTATATTCTCTCGATATTATCAAAATGCGTTATTTTGAAATAAATATAGAACATATCATAAATAAAATATAATGTATTTATACAAACGTAGTAAACTCTGTTACCTGTATAATGATATATAAATGTATATACAATAATTCAAGGAAGAAAAAAATTATTTTATTCATGTGAAATTAGAATAATTAAAACTTTTACAATCAACGAATCTTATTAAGAATATTGTTCATGTAAAAAGTTTGAAGTCAAAATTCGAAAATCAATTTTTCATGTGATAAAAGTTATTTTTCTGTTGAAAAACTGATTAAAATTGCGATATCACAAGAACGAAGGCCTGGAAAAAGAAACTATTATAGACGTTTCTATTATATATCAAACGAACATCGTCTCGATTGAATAGCTATTTGATACCTGGAGAGGTTGTCTTGTAAGATGAATATATTTCTATTTACAATTATTTATGACCTAAATAAATAAAAATAATGTGGGAATGATTTTTTCAACCTCACATAACGTTTATATTAGAATTCTCTTACTAATAACGATGATAAAGATTTAACAGATTAAAGTTTAACATGAAGAAAAAACAACAATCGAATATAGTTTTATCATAACTTTAATAGGGAACTGTCATAAACAATATAGCAGCATTACAATTCTTCAAGCTATTAATTTACATATACAATGATATGTTTGAAAGGTTATTTTGAAAAAGTAAGTCTTGTAAAATCGATTGTTTTTTTTTCTGCGTAAAAAGCGAAATAAAATGTACTTGTCAATCATTTGATTACGTTCGTATTTGATGTATCAGATTCTAATTGATAAATTAATACGCTAAATACTAAGTCAATAAGCGATATTTCGTCGATATGGAAAAATAGATTCTATAATACCTGTTGAATATTTTTCTACGCCATATACATGTATATTTTGTTATTTATTTCGTCGAAGTTAAATGATACAATTGCATATGAATCCGAATATGTGTGTTTTTCTTCCTACCTACATCTGCCCTAAAAAATGGATCTTAGGATCACGTACATTTAAATCATACGAAATTTTCAGCATTACATTATCACCTTTGCGAAAAATGTTTAACAAACAAACGTCAAAAATAGTTCAAATCGTAATCAAAGTTTCTATTTTTGAATTCTTAAGTTTTATGCGAGGAAAATAATGAAAAGTTTAATAACTCAGAAAATGGTCATTTGCTTATAGAAGTGCATTTTGATATAAGAATAAAAAATTGAATACTGCATTTTTACGTGCTCTATCAAATAGAAATAAAGCAATTGGATACAATGAAGTATCTTTGAAAATTCTTGGATTTTGGTCAAAAAAAAACATCATTTTGGAGCTGAAAGTGGCGAAAATTTTAGGAGAAGACGACTGTACTAAATAAACATTCATATCGTTTGTAAAAGATCCAATATCAACCTATTCTCTGATACATTTATCTTAATTTCAACAATTTTGACGGACAAAGTCCGTCGATTGATCCGTATCTGAAATTTTTTTAACTCGATGAACTCTCATGCTTGACAAATGTGTAAGATGTACTGATCATCAAATATACTAAAAAATTATTTCATATCTTCTGATTAGAAAATTTCATTGAGAATACTATACTACGGTTCGAAAAAGACGAATTTAAGTTTCCTAGTAATTTTTGATATCAGAACGAGATTTTTATACATTACTAGAAGAAGAGGCATCAACTTCGTTGCGCTTTTTGTCGAATCCTATGGAGGTGGTGCTTTCTATTGAGATTTCAACGATACACAATAAAGCTTACTAGTCTATATAATTTTAGATAGAGGAAGACTACTAATCTACATATATTCCATTCGTGGATCAAAAGCTTATAATCGCTTTTCAATCAGGTGCGGTCGGGTCCAACAATTTTGAACGTGACAGGTTCTATCGGCAAAATCAGACTTTTTGAAATGATAAGCGCTTCAGTTTTACACAAGAGCATTATCTAGCATTTCTATATAGGTATCAAAATGATACATATATTTTACTGCGGACCAGATGTAGTTTTCAAGCTGTGGTTTTAAGGCCTTTCTCTATGGAATTTTGTAAAGAATTCTGCGGGTTATCTTTTGGAAAAATTCAAATACAATCATCAACAACTGAGAGAGATATTTCAAAAACACTTCGAGGGTCATTCTTTATGTATCATCCGTTAGTCGAATTTGAATATAATATTTTACTCCCTTTTACGAATGAGCATTCAGTCAAGGCCCTATTATTTATCACTTTTTATTTCACACTAACAGGGCACACATTTACCATACGACACTAATTTTGAATTAAATTTTCAGTTTGAACTGGAAAAATTTTAACTGATAATATGATCTAGCACCGATGAGACGGCCGCTCCGCACCAGTTCTGTTTGCAAAACTTTCAAGCGGGCCTGTTACCTTAGTATGAGTCATATTTCTCATGAAAATATGAACAGATCGTGCGCGGTGTAACTGTCTCCGTCCCCACTTTTTGTATCTGTGCGAATGGTGAACGTCTCTAAAACTTGCAACTTTTACGGTTGCATATTTGACACAAAGCTTCTCTAACAAGATCTGTATTTGCATTTGTACCTTTACATCATAGAATTGGTGATAAACTCTAAAACAGTAAAAATAAGACTAAAACATAGAAATAAGGTACATCTTATCACAAGAGCCAACACTTATATTATGTTCATTTGCTGATTGTAGGGCTGTACAGCTCACGCTCTCGCTCATGAGCGTGAGCGTTTCTTGTGCATCAAATGCAAAATCATCCCTGATCACTTTTATCAACTTCATTCCTTGAAAAGCGACATTCACTATTTTTGAGCCTGAGGTCCCCCTCAGGTATCATGAAAAAAAAATTTTTTTCCTTCATGGATCAAAACCATATGTGATTGTAGATTCAGGGATGCAATTACGAATATCATAATCAGAGCTCTCAAAACTCTTTCATTACTAAAATAATCCTAACTACTCCACGTACCTGTTTATCATTATTGGCACCCTCACTCAAAGAATAACTATTCACTAAAATTGAGCGGAAAACATCATTTCTGAACCAAAATTTCGAGTTCTTTACAAATCTGAATCTTTTATGCCGAAGATAAGTAACATTTGAAAGGAAATGGCCATTCTAGTCCAGAAATTAACGCTTATTTTTTAATATATAAATTTTGTCTCGCTGACTTTTTGTGAAATCACTCTTTCTAAAACGTGAAATTTGGGTCACAAGGCAAATTTTTCAAGTTCTATTGATTAGTAATCTCAAAAATAATTAAAATAGTGTGGAAAATGGATTAAATCTCACAATTCCATAGAAATAGGTTTCTTTCATTAGATTTGAGTATACATATGCTTGGCATTCAGCACAAAATCGGCCTTCGTGTCATGTAAAACTCGCACTATATATCTCAGTTTTCAACATCTATCTATCGATGATGGCGAAAATATAGAAAGAAAGGTATAGCGAAGCAAAAAGCTCGAAGTATACTCAGATTCGACCTATTTTTGTTTAATTTGGCTGAAACGGTATAATTTTCAGCATTAAAATAGTGTTGTTAGAACACCATATTCGCATTACATTGGTTGCTTTCCATTTGCTCTCAATTGGCAGTCTGAGGGACAAAAATATAAGAGTGGAGCTCGATCAAACATGTGAAATTTGAGAGGCTCCGTCCGACTTTCCCTATATTCATCTATGTTTTCGTGGTTTTGAACGTGAGAAGAAACATACTCGGCCTTCGAATTCACATATTACCGATTTCATTGTGACGCTCTGTCATCAAGATGCCCTACTCACATAAATAAATTAGATTTAAAAAATAAATGAAATCAAATTCAATAGTGTTGTAGAACAATCTTTTCTCCACAAGATTCCATTCAGATGTGTTTTGATAGGACGAAAACTGAGAACGTTGTAAAATTTGCACGAAGAGAAATATTTGGAATTGTATCAGTTTGGTCTTGTTCACTCTCTATGTTAGATATTGTTTTATCTATTGCGACGCAACTATTGTTGTGTTGACTGTGCTGCGTGACGAACGCTGACTACAATTATAAATATGATTCAAAGCGCATCTATAATGCAAGCATATTACGATCTATTTTATGCAAATCGAACGTATCGATCGAAGCAAGCATTACACGTGCACATGTGTAGATAACTTATAAACATAGTAAAGCTACATTAGTCGAAGGTAAGATAAACAAACAATACGCATGATCGATCACCTTACTCAAATGCACATAGCTATTTCGTGCTGTTTTCATTTACATCATTGTTATTCGTCAATAGCTATGGTTATTATTGCGCTCCTCATGTTTTTCATTTATAATAGCCCACTCATTCATGGCCTTCAATGCTACCATTTGGTATCTAATTCTACTGGTTTCGTCTTAGTTAAAGCAGCATTATCGGATAGCTTGTGCGCACCTGACAGCTGTATCTGTGTGAGTTATGTTTTGCCATGTTCTGTGAACGACAGTCTCTGTACGCCAGACGAACAGAAGAGTGGATTGTGGAAATTAGTGTTCACTTTTACTTCTACATCATTATGTCAGAATTTGAAAGACACGTACGCCAGCATTTACTCGAACTTTTACGAGAAGTGTAATTTGACAATGCCTACAATTGAACCGACTATACCAACAATTGAATTTACTACACCCACAATTTCATTTACCATGCCGTCAACATATCCTATAAACATATCAACTGTTGAGGTAAGATTGAATGGTAATAAAATATAGCGGTTGTTAAAGAATGGTACGGTTTGTATTTCCAGTTTTCTTCTTCACATTGAACTCACAGGACTCTGTTTTTTTTAAGAGAGCATATTTTATTCAAATAAAATAATGTCTTTTCTTTTTTTTTAAAAATAGAACCTAACCGTAGAGTAAAATTTTCAGTAGAATCTAAAATAGTTTTGGCTTGGATATTTTTTTACAATCGGTTTTAGTTCTCGAATAATAATACTAACAGATTTTGAATTGTACCTGTAGGATTTTCTTCGATAATTGATCTGTTTCGAATACAAATGGATATATTCTCAATAAGAACTCAAATCTATTTTAGATAACCATGCCAACGATCAATTTCAGCGTGCCAACAATTGAACCATCTATTCCGACAGTTACCGCATATACGCCTAGCATTCAACCAAGTGTACCATCAATTGAAGTAAATTTTTCAATAACAACACCTCAGATACCAATGTCTGAGCAGAGTATGCCTACAATGGAATTTAACCTGTCAACATTTGAAATGTCCACCCCAACCTTCCCGACGCTAACGTCAACGGTCGAAATCCCAACTATCAACACAACAGATTTTACCATTCCAACGATTACATTTAACATTTCTAACATAACATTCGTTAATATATCGACATTTGACACTACTGTTCCGACTTTTACAGTACCCATACAATTTCCATGTTCAACGTACAGTGAACTGAAAGTCGTTTGCTGTTCAACAGATTTGTGTAATACAGTGGGACTTACCTCAGAACAAATGCAACAGGCACCGCTTGTTCAATACACAGGAAGCCTGTCCACACAAGAAACATCTTCAACATCAGCAACAACACTTCAAACATCAGAAACATCAGCAACAATACTCCAAACATCAGCATCAATACCCCAAACATCAGCATCAACACCCCAAACATCACCATCAACACCCCAAACATCAGCATCAACACCCCAAACATCAACAACAATGCGTCAAACATCAAATCAAACCTCACAACCATCAGCAGCAACGCCTAAAATACCAGTAGTCACACTTCAAACATTCGTTCTTTGTAATGGTATTATATATCTATGTTTGTTTTTCGAATCATTTCTTTGATTATTCGTCTATCTTATGGTTGTGCTAAGGACTGTTACTATTGTTCTATTATAAAGACAATAATTTGACATTTTCTTTTTTTAAACAAGAGTTCGACTTTCATCTTTTGTATTTTAAATAAAAATACGATCTGCCATTTTTACTTTTGTTTTTTTGTTAAAAGTAAAATGTATCAGTCATTTAATGCTATACTCAAGTCTTCATCAATAACGAATTCACCAACTGTGAAAGCATTGATGAAGGATGAAAAACATTTGTCTTACTGGTGTTTACATTCGAATTGGAGACATAGTCTTCGTGCAACAAGACTTTTCTCATGCACTTGTCAACTGTCAGCATACTATGAATATTCAACACAACTCCCTATCATCAAAAAATGCAAAGATTGAAGAAGGCTCGATGAAACGTAGCATAAATTCTAAACTTCTTTTTCGAAAAAGCGGTTAGGGGAAAATTCTCTAGGGCGAATGGACCTTATAAATAGTACGACTCAAATAATCATGACCTATTATGATCTCTAAGTGATTAGACGTTGTCTTATATTTCTGATTCTGTCTCTTTCTTTCTTCATTCTCTTTTTATTTGATTCTCTTTCTTAGTGGCGAAGCCAGGATTTTAGTTTAGGGAGAGCTGAGCTCCATATTCTTTGTCCACAGTCTGTGTAAAGTAGTATAAGATGTTTTACGTAAGCTGTCCAACTCGGTGGCATTATTTGCACTCTAAAAGTTCCTGCTCAGTCATATGTTGCTAATTTATTAGTTTTGATTTGCAGATTGATTCAAAAGTCAATTTAACGAAAAAAAAAATCTGAAAATGTCCGTTATATTTTGACCAAATAAGCTGATTTTTTACCACTTATAAAGGTATGTTCATAGGTCATATAGATAAGAATAACATTGATAAACACGGCTTTGAAGTATCATCCTTGACTCAATAAAGAACTCTAACATTTCACCAGCTATGAAAATGCAAAATAATTATAACCTTGACCAAAAAGAAACTTTATATATCTTTTTTCTATTGATTCTCTATCCTATTGTTCTTTGGTGTGATATTTATACCACGGATACATGCCATGATACTCATGGCATCTTGTCAGTTTCAGCTACAAACAGTACCAATTTCTTGAGAAAATTGCAATATGATTTTTCCATAGATCATGAAAGGTGACAATACTTTATTGACATCAATGGTGATACTTGAAATTAGTATCTTTCAACATTTTTCTTATGAATATAATTTATGAACATTTCTTTATTAACCGTAAAAGATTCAATTCATTTGGTCAAAATCTGGAAGAGATATTCAATTTTGTGGAACTCACATATTTTTCGAAAAAAACATTGATTCTAGATTTTAAGTCGAGATATTTTGGCTTGCCATCCCCTCCCCATTGTCTAACGTAGCCACGAAACCCTCGGTACAGACCTTAGAACCTTCACTCCTCATTGCAGACTTTAGCAATCGAGGACAACAGACGTCAGACTCCTTTTCGTGAGTTATTCAGCAATGGAAAACTATGCTGAAAGACATTTATGGCATGACTTACATTGTTCTAGAGTAGTCGAAAGCCATTCCTCAAAATTTAAATGGCTTCAATACGTTTATAAATGTTCTAAATAGTGCAATTTCTCATTCTTATGCACATAAAAATTTATATTCAAGAGATTAAGGATTATTGGTACTGATACATTGCTTCGTCGCAATTGTGACATGATCAACATAGAAAGCGCCAATTGATCAAATTATAATTTTTGAAAATAGTCAATATCCGTGTTTGTGAATTGATCGAGATATATAATAATGACTTGCTACTGAAGATATAATGTATATACATAACAAGTTTATTTGTCAGATAAGTCAATGCTCAAAATAATAAAACTATCAGATTAGGAAAAACAAAATACGCAAAAGAAAAATAGCGAACGAATACCAACAAGGAAAAAAAACTAGAGCGCTAATAGATAAAGAAAAACTTGTGTTCAAAATGTAGAAATGAATAAGGCAGATCATTGTTCAGGTAATCGACTATTTTGAAAAACAACTACAGGGTGTAACAAAACATTATGCTCCTCTACAACTTAAAGTATAAATAATATCGCAAAGTATTTTATATCAAATTAATGCTCATTAAAAACTGGATTTATGAGTATAATTAGAACAATTATTGCCTATGAAATTATTGAAATGTCTTGGATTACATAGCAAAATACAGTCGTATTTTACGATTTTCATTCTTCATGCTCACATTTCCACAAAAAAAGATAATAGTAGATTCGTAATCCGTAACAAAAGCTAAGTCTATAGACATGTCATCTATATATTTTTGAAGAAAAAAAGGTTTTTGAAAAAAGTCTTGGAAAGATGCTTCAGACAAACAATTTTTTGAACTCAAATATCTGAATTTATATATCGGTGCACGTAGTTGTCGACGGAGATCACGAATTTGATGTTATTTTTGTTGAAAAATCTGGTAAAACAGCAAAAATTGCGATATAAAAGCCTGTTTGGGCATGAAAATGCCCTAGATTGTATAATATCAGATCTATAATAGAACTATCATGAGACGACTCTGAGGATTTTTTCAAAAACCTTTTTTTTCTTCAAAAATATACAGATGACATGTCTATAGACTTAGTTTTTGATACGGATTACGAATCTACTATTATTATTTTTTTGTGAAAATGTGAGCATGAAGAATGAAAATCGTAAAATACGAGTGCATTTTGCCATGTAATCCAATACATTTCAATAATTTCATAGGCATTACACTCATAAATCCAGTTTTTGATGAACATTAATTTTGTATAAAATACTTTATGACATTATTTATACTTTAAGTTGTAGAGGGGCGTAATGGTTTTATTACATCTTCTAGAAATATTTTTGAAATTTATCAAAAATATCATGAAATAAGTGGAGCAAATAAATAAAATCATTTTCTCTTTTTTTATGACTTTTTGAATTCTCTTATTATTAGATTCATTGTGATAAGATGAACAAAATCAATTTGATGATATACAATTACAGAATGGTGATGAAACATCATGGTAAGCAGATATTAATGTTGATCAAACTTTTAAACAATAAAATAAACCACGATTAATTAAACCACAAGATTTTCAAGTAAAAATTTTGTTTTCAATTATTTAAATAAAATTAATTTTTTGCTTTAAGATTCGAATGAAAATTTTTTTCAAAACTAAGACAATATGCAATATCGTTTTAGTAGAAAACTTTTTTTGTGAATCTTGTGAACATTTTATATTCAACTAGAGGAAAAACTGGTCTCACAATTAAAGTTTAATGGACTGAACTATAGATAAGATATGATCTCAACAATTTAGCAGATAAGTTTTCTTCACAATACTTGTCGCAATTTTAAAAAAAGGTTCATGTCATTACTTCAATGAAATGCATAACGTTGATAGTTCACAATCTAGAACAACGCACATAATGACATCATAGTTCTAGTTCTATTTAAAAACAGTTCAATTAGAATTAAATTGATCAGCTTAATAAAATAAATATTTTTCAAAACGAATAGGTGAATAAATTTGATATAATCTTATCAGCATACATAATGTTAAAAGGTATTTTCTTGTTACTTAATAAGAAATTTAAATATTTGACGAATAAAATGAAAATGTTGTCATAGAGTGAAATGAATTTCTCTATAATTATTGAGATAAGACATATCTGATGATCATCTTTTAGAATATTTATTAAAATAATTTTCATCATAAAATATTTCAAACAAAAAACAAGAAACATATTCTAGGTAGATCTTTTTAAGATATTTTGTTGATGATATAATTTAATTTACAATTGACAACAGAAAAAAAGAAAAATATTCTTTCAATTTATGTTAAAAATGAACATATCTAGAAGTATATCTATAAACGAAATAAGTACTAAAAACAAATTCTTTAATAAATATTTGATATCATTTCTAAAAAGAAAACTTGATCGATTGTAGTAATGGCCATAATATTTTTGTATCTTGTATCATATAATAGAAGAATTTTGTGCTGATAACTATACAATAGAATTTGTTATCTTTTGCAAAGAGATTGTAAGTTTGTCGATACAATAAGAGTTGCATTTAACTTTGACAAGATGAAAAGAAAACTTTCCAAGTAACATAAAGAAAAAAAAAATGTTATTTTATATCTTCCGAATAGCAAAACAATCAAGTTACATACATTATATGAATCAGAAAGGAAGAAACTTTTGTTTATAACAATCTCAATATTCTATTTAATCGACTTTCAATATTCCAACAAGTGACTTTTTTTTATAAAACTTTAAGATTTGATTTAGAAATAATATAATTGCAAATGACCTCATCTTCATGCTCAACAATTATTAAATACGATTCTGATTTTTCTTTTAGGTAAATGAATGAAATTAATTCAATAACAACTGAAAATAATGTATTTAATTATGAACAAATTTTTTCGAACGATTTAACAAAAGATCTAAACAATATTGAATTAGTGATCACTGTATGACTACGAAATGTATCATTAAATACAAATGAAAACTTTGATTATAATTGAATCTAAAATTGAAAATAATTCTGATCTATTGAAAATTTTTTTATGATCAATCAATATTATGTGAAGAATATATTTGAAAAAGTTCAAAAAAAAAAATGTCAAAATATTTTTTATTCTTTCAATTGAATATTGTTAAAAATCTCTTAGAAAATAATTCATTTAATTTATATTTATAATCAAGATTTAAATAATGAAAAATAAAATAATTATTCAAAAGTCATTATAAAAGTAATAATTGAAGATTTAATCTATTCAAACAAAAAAAAAACTATACTCTATAGATTAGAAATGTATATCATGATCTGAATAAATTAGTTGTTGATTTGTCTTACGATATAAATAATATGAACAATTACCAATAACTATTTTTAGGTATTCTTACATTTCATTTCTTTTTAATATTAGATTTATATAAACAACTTAACAAAATTTATAAGGAATTTATTGATTCAAATGACTATGCAGATAATATATATATGATATTGTTTATAGAGGATAATTTATATTTGATAATGAACTTAAAGATCTAAAAGATAATTTAAAATATGATTAAAAAATATCGATCAATAATCTTTTTTTCTTGAGTTAGTCGAACAGAAGAAGTTGCATTGATATTTTCTGATTTAAATAATTTGTTTAAAATTTCTTTTCAATATAAAAAATCTGTTTTATTTGAAATAAATATTAAATATGATCATCAAAATATTATTAAAACAAAAACTATTTGCTGATATATAAATCATTTATTCAATAGTAATAAATAATATGAATAAGAAATTTTATTTATGATTGATTCATTTTTTTAAATTGATGAAATTATTGAAAATAAACAAATTGATAAATTTGGATGAAGAAAAGTACAATAAAACAATAGTAATACTTATTAAATTAACATTAATTAATGAAAATGATTTAAATATTTCAATTATGAATGATTTTCGAATTTCAAAATCAACTAAACTAAATCAGAAAAAATTAATTCGAATTAGTAATTTATTAATCAATTATTTGTTATCAAATAAATTTTCATATTCACAAGCTTTACTTAATCACTTTGAATTTACTATGGAAACAGCATGTTTAAGAAGTCAACCTTGGATTGCCATTGAAAAAAGAAGACTATAAATTAGCAATTGACTTCGTATCTAAAGCTTTACTAAAAGATGATAAATTCAACAAAGAATTAACAATAACTACTCTAAATTATCTGACTGGTGCTTATTCAAAGTCAAAAAAATTATCCTAAAGCACTAGAATATTATAATCAGCCTATAGTTTATCAAAACCTACTGATGATATGATAAAAACGGTCTCTATTAAGGATTATGTATTCCAATTGATAAATATGCTATGTATGATAATTATCGAAATATCTCATCAATTAGTATAGCATCTATTTATCAGAAAAAATGGAAATGTTCAGTTAGCATGGAATATGTATAAGGAAGCTGTTGACTATGATATGCGGGATACAACTGATTTTCATTATGTATGAAGTCATTCGGAAATCACATGATCACTTTGGATCTCTTCCCCCCGTCGATCACGTGATTTCGGACAGACTCCCCTCTCCCCAAAATATACAAAATTTCTAAAAAAACTCCTGCAAATTTTCCCAATTTTTCAGAAAAAGTGATGACGAAAAGATTTCTTGATCTTGGATTAACCGATATATTAAAATATCGTACATCAGCAGTTATTGAATATCTATCATTGACACATCAATATGATTTTCCTTCATATCGTTATAATAATAGTTATTGTCGAACAATGGCAATTGTTTATTTTCGACAAGTTGAATATCATTGTAAACAATATGCTTCTAATCATCAATATTATCTTTATACTTTACAATGTTATGAATATCTTGTGACACTCTATCAATATTCTAGTGATCGATCTATTGAATATTACCAAAAAATGATTGAATTATGCCTTAAATATTGTTCAAATGATCTGGAAAATTTGATTATCGATTATAAAGACATGATTCAAACATACAAACAACAACAATCAATAAAAATAGTTAATTCAGAAGATATTTCAACATTGGTATGTACTTCTAATAATCATATAGAAGTTTCATTAATTGAAACATCGATGATACCACCCGTTACACCAATGACAGCACCGCTAACACCTATAATTTCGTCGATATCTGGAAAACTTTTTGAAAATATCAAACATTTACATTTTACATTTGATTTCTATAATAAATGGATTGATCTACGATTTGAACATGAATTAGATCTACAAAAGAAAATGATTTATTATCATATGAAATTAACTGCTTTATATTATGATCAAGAAAAATCCATTGAAGCTAAACATTCTTTAGGAGAAGTCATTTTATTATATCGAAAAACTGGTTCAGAAATGAAGGAAATAATAAAAAATTTGTCATGAAAATCTTTCATTTATTGATAAGAATTTTGATAGTATTAGTGAATATACATATATATATATAAATCGTTTCACAACAACTATAAATACAAATAATTATTGTATTAATGAAAATAATCATTTCAATTCAGCATTTGAATATTTAAATAAAGCAATTAAACGTTTTGAAAAACATAATTATCTATATCAACATACAATTAATTATTATATGAAATTAGAAAAATATTATCAAATGATTAAAAATAATATGAAATCAAGTATTATAACATAAAAAAATATAGTTAATCTTGTAAAACATTATCGACAATATCCTATCATAAGAATTATTTTCATAATTCAACAAAATTTCATTAATTTTTTTAAAAATAAATTTGATTTAAATACTAGGGGTCGACAAGCTCAGCTCAGTTCCGCTCAGAGGAACTGTTCGAACAGCTCTTTTGAGCTGAGCTGAACTGGTGAACCGGTTCGTTTGAGCTGAGCTGAACTGGTGAACCGGATCGTTTGAGCTGTGAGCTGTGTTCCCAAAACGGAACACTTTTGTTCTTTTCTGGGAATTATTTCCCAAAAATAGAACAATTTTGTTCTTTTATGGGAAAATTATTTCCCAAAAATAGAACACTTTTGTTCTTTTATGAGAAAATTATTTCCCAAAAATGGAACAATTTTGTTCTTTTTTGGGAAAATTATTTCCCAAAACGGAACACTTCTGTTCTGTTATGGGA